ACTGGGATGCTGCGGAGCCATACTGGGATGCTGTCGTGCCGTATTGGGGCTGCTGGGGGAGGTGGTGTCCCTGCCCAGGGCAGGGGGTTGGGGCTGGATGATCTCTAAGCTCCATTCCAACCCCTAAAATTCTCAGATTCTGTGATCCTGCTTGCACACACACATGGCCCATCCACCTATTTAACCATTTGTAAACAAAAAAGTTCTGCTGTTTCAAATCCTCCTAGAATTTATTCCTCCTATAAATTCAGTACACGTTTTCAGGTACTGAAATCTGGATCAAAACCAGTAATCCACTTCTCCCTAGGTTCTGAAGGATTTTGCAAGCAATTTAGCCTGAGGCTACATACTCACAGTTCTCAGCTACACTGGCTAAGGAGGACAAGACTTCTGTTGTAGTATGTAGTCTGTGTTGATATGCATCTGCCCACCACAAATGTTCACACCTTTTTAGAGTGTTAAACACACACTAGAGAAGACAAAAAACATTTTTAGAGTAATATGTCTTTTAAGTTGCCCGGGCCACCGCCCAATAACCAACAGGTAATAACAAAATATTCCTTTCTCATCATTCAGTGAGTACCTTCCAGGACTATCTTCCAACTAAGCCTTCATGGTGCCCTTTAAATTCATTTCTTGGGAGACAAAATTGACTCTTCTTTAAATTCTAGGAAGCAAAAAATCTTCTTCAGTAGTTGCAATGGGACTAAAGGAAATGAGTCAGAATCACAGACTAATCAGAATTTGAAGGGATCCTGGAGGATCATCTAGTACAACCCCTGGTCCTGCACAGGACATCCCTGACAATCACACCCTGTGCCTGAGAGCATTGGCCAAACACCTCTGGAGCTCTGTCAGCCTTGGGGCTGTGCCCACTGCCCTGGGAACTGTTCAGTGCCCAAACACCTCTGGGGGAAGAACCATTTGCTAATCTCCAGCCTAACCCTCCCCTGACACAACTTCAGCCCATTCCCTGGGTCCTGTCCCTGGGGGCCAGAGAGAAGAGGTCAGTGCTGCCCCTGCATTTCCTTCCTTGAGGAAGTTGTATCCAGACATGAGCTCTGTCCTCAGTCTCATCCAGGCTGAACGGACTAAACGCCTCAGTCACTCCTCACGTGGTTTCCCCTCAAGACCCTTCACCACATTCGTTGCCTCCTTTGGACACTCTCCAATAACTCAATATCTTTCTTACATTGTGGTGCCTCAAACTGCACACAATATTCACGGTGAGGCCTTGAATGCTCTCACATTGAGAGTATAACACAAAGATTGTTTCCTTTCTATCAACAACTGCTAGTTTCCCGATATACCTGCACTATATGCTCTAGTGAGTTCACTTAATTCCCCAAAGCTCAACCAAGAAAAAGATAAACCACACTAGAGTTAAACCAGCCATCAGAGTCAGCCTTTGGTCACTACAGAATTGTGAACAAAGAAAGAAGAAAGAGAAAAAAAAGCCAACCACACTCTCATGAACATTTAATAACCAGAATAATTTTCCAACTCTTTTCATACAAACTCTTGGCACAGAGCCTACATTTATAGAAAATCTGGAAGAGATCTGGTTACATTCATCTTCTGCACAAAGCTCCTGACCACCATGAGCTACACCAACATGGGTGTAGCTCATGGTAGCTCATTGCCTTTCCCATTCCACCCTTTTAAATGGCTGTGGAATGGGAAAGGCAAATGAAACATGCTGAAAAACATGGGTCAGCGCATACTGGGAAAACATCTCATGTGAACAGAAACAGTGTGAAAGGAACTTGGAATCTACCTCCAGTCAGGGACAGAACAGTCACACATTCCGTGAGGCTGGAAGGGACCACAGTGAGGGCCACCCTAGAGCACATGGCTCAGGGTTGTGTCCAGAGGGTTCTGGAATATCTCCAGTGAGAGAGACTCCACGACCTCTCTGGGCAATCTGTTCAGTGCTCAGTGACTGCACAGGAAAGATCTTCCTCATGTTGAGGCGGAACTTCCTGGGCATCAGTTTTTGCTGATCCCTCTTGTTTTCTTGGTTTCCCCCACTGAGCAGAGTCTGATCATCCTCTTGGCACCTCCTGTTCATGGACTTGAATCCATTCATGAGGTCCCTCTCAGTGTCTCTTCTGGAGACTGAACAGCCCCAATTCCCTCAGCCTTTCCTCATCACTGAGGTGCTCCAGTCCCCTGAGCATTTCCTCGCCCTCCCCTGGACCTGCTCCAGGAGCTCCATGTCCCTCTGGTCCTGAGGAGCCCAGAACTGGACACAATATCCAGGTGTGGCCACACTGGGGCTGAGTAGAAAGTTCGTCTTACAATTCCTTTGACTGCATATGGTTTGATAGTACTGCCTCTCTTCCCTCTTACCTTTATTTTTTGAAGGGTGAAATAGTTTGACTTTGGGATTCAGGTTTACCATTCAATTGAGGTAACTGTACACAGGTCTGTGGTTGGAGTGGGATCAGATGGGTCCAGAGAGAGTGATAACTGCCTTTAAAAGGGCATGGCTGTTCTTATGCAGTTCATTTTTCACTCCAATGTCTGATCCTGTTTTGCCTGACACCTTGAGGGCAGATATTACCTTAAATACTTTATATAGTTTTGGGCTTTCCCCCCACATTTGGAGCTGTTCCAGCCCTGAAGTGTCAGCAGTGATCTGGGCAAGGAAACTTCTGCAAAAGCACATTATGCATTTTGTCCTGCATGTAGATTGCAGTGTGGGGTTGAGCCTATCCATAATTCCTCTGACATAATTCATCCGTTATGCAAAGTAAATTCTTACTGATTCTTTCCCCTTTGCAATGATATATTAGTTGCAGAAGTAGAAAGTTGGTAGTCACCATGTAAAAGTGTCCTGGTTTATATTATGCTGAGCAAGATTAGATCAGCATATGAATGCCATAAAACAAGTATAAGTATTGTTCTAGTTCTCAGTTGCTGCAGCAAATGATTCTGGGGGCTGCATTTTATGGCTTAGGCATCCGAAGTGGGAGAACAGGGCAGGATACATGTCCCATTGTGGTTTCCAGGCCACAGTATAATCAGGGTTTGGATGGAAACAAAACAGGTCACAGCACAAACTTCTGCTGAAGAACTGGAGACATTTAAAGGCTCAGCTGCAGTGCAACTGAAAGCACAATTCTGAACATGAGATTGTAGGGA